GATTTGGGGGACAAAATAAAATTCCTTCGGTGTGGTTTGATGTAGCTGCTTTGAACTCAGAAAGCTAAACTTCCCTGATTTGCAGAAAAATTGCAGTTCAAGGTCTGAAATCTAGGGCTTAAGGAGAAACGAGGGTATGAATGTTCTGCAAATTCAGCACATTGAGAACCTCAGCTTTCTTTCGATCGAAGCAAAACTCTAGACCTCACAGTATGAAAATATGCTTGAAGTCTGTCTCTCTTCCATGCACTGTCAATAATTAGATGAAATAATAGTTGCAGGTGTTTCCAGATGATGGATCTCTCTAATGGCACCATAGAACTATTCCATATTTATCTCCTTAACTAATCTATTTGAGGAAAGAAAAAAAAATCAGAACAACTACAGGACCACAGTTTCCTGCAAATTCTCTCTCCACAAATTCACATGAATAGTGTAGAGCAGTGCTCTTCAAACTTGGCAACTTTAAAATGTGTGTGCTTCAACTCCCAAAATTCCCCAGCCAGCATGGGGGCTAGAGAATTTTGGGAGTTGAAGTCAAACATCTTCAAGTGGCCAAGCATGAAAAACACTGCTGTAGAACAATCTGCTCTAGAAGCACTCAAGTCCATCAGAAGATATGTCTACACCATCTTCATCATCCTGTCTTTATCTTCCCTACAGCTACTCCCAAAGCCCCAACTGTGTTCCCACTGTCTCCTGGCCAAGACATTTCCACCGCCTCCCAAGTTACCATTGGTTGTCTCATCGATGACTACTTTCCCGAACCAGCCACGGTGCAATGGAACTCAGGCGCCATCACCAGCGGAATCCTCCACTTCCCTCCAGTTTTGCATTCGTCCAGCCATTATACCCATAGCAGTCTGCTCACCATCCCAATCAACCAGTGGGAATCGGAGTCATTCCAGTGCAGCGTTCACCATCCAGCCACCAACTCCAGAATTAACAAAAAAATTGAGCGTGAGTCCAGCAAAATTGTTGTTAACCTTTTTCCTTTCAAAGGGCAGTTGATTTGGCAAAAGCAAGAAAACCAAGGTTGAGGGTGAAGGGATGGAAAATCGATATAGTATTCAGGATAGTATCAGATTTTTGCTTAGGACCAAAACTCTTACATTATGGAAAATACCTAAAACTGGTGCCTTTCCAAAGGGATTTGCAAGGACCAGGTGATCGGTGTGAGGAGAAAAGATTTGGGCCTTTCTAATCTGGAGAAGGGAGAACCCAGGTCAAGTCATTTGAGATTTCAATGATGAGGGGGCAAGTTTCAGCATTTTTATTTAAATGCAGGCAAGCCTGGGATGTTTTCTGAAATCCATGTCATATTTCAGTGCAATTGGTGGGGATGCATTATAAAGGTTTTACTGCTTTATCATTCTTGAAGCAGCTTTAGCAATATGAAGCATTTGCCAGTTTAAGTATCTGTATCCCTTTTCTTGGTGTTGAATGGGTGCTATGAAAAAGGATCTGGAGGTGTCTGGGAGCATCTCAGAGGCAACAGTAGAAGAAAATGGATGACATAATCCCTTTGCCCTCCCTTGTATTGGGAGCAGCAAAGCACACCTTGGAGCTGTAGGGCCAGGAAACCTTATGCTTTGAAAAGGGATTAAGAGAGGATGAATTTGAATGAGAAGGAATGATCATTAAACCATAGATCATGAAGCCAGAGGGCAAATACAACAAGAATACGAGAAACAAAAGACATTAATGGAGGTTAATTTTGCTTAGAATCTGCTAAGCAACAAAATCGGTTCTTTAATTTGCCCTTTGTGGTCCTGTTATGGTTCAGTATTTGTAAGAAGGCCATCTTGAGTGGAACAGAGTTCAGGGAAGAAGAGGTGGTGCATCTTGAATCACTAAAAGTCACTCCCATCCCCACAGCCTGTGCAGCCCGTGAACCGGTGGCCCCCGAGGTCCGGCTGCTCCATTCCCCATGCAACTTGAAAGGGAGTGATGGAATCATACAGCTGGTGTGCTTCATTGAGAGTTTCTACCCCAAAGAGATTCACGTTGAATGGCTGGTGGGCAGCCACCAGGGTTTGCTGGCTCCATACACCGAACCTCCCAAGCATGATGTAAGTGGGTACACCTTCAGTACCACCAGCACGGTCAACATTACCCAAGCAGATTGGCTGGAAGGGAATACGTACTACTGCCAAGTAACCCACGAGGCATCACAAACCAAGGTGAAAAGCAGAGCCAGGAAATGTGAAGGTAATAATGATTGGATGCAGACTCTGGTTTATAGAAGGGGGTAATGGACAAAAATAGAAAGTCATGGAGGAGGATGGCTAGCCTTTTTACAAGATCTTCTCTCTTATATAGAAATCTATACCATTTTCAATTAAGCTTCATTGACATAAGCAAGTTCGTTACTTGCTGATATGTAGATATTCAGGCAAATCCCCACTGCCATTTTTCTGGCATAGCTGGAAGCAAGAATCGTGGGCACACAGAGGAAGATTTCATGGTTAAGATGCCCCAGCATATGGAACACTACCCAGTGATAGGAATGGGCATCTTAACCAGAAGAAGGAGGACTTGAATCTAATAGTGGGATAACATATTATCAGACATATTGTAAGTCTTAGTGGGCAACAGTTCCTCACTACTTGACTATTGAGATTGAAGTATAAACTCTTACCAATAACATGGTTCCTTCTTTTAAAAGATGTGTCATGAAGTGATCCTTCCTTGAATTTTACTGTAAGAAGTATTCTTGTGAAAGGAAGACATGCAAAACACTGAGCCAGTAGTCAACTGGGGTCAGATAATGGGATGTACACTGGACAATTCCCCATTCCCAAGCTAAACAAGCAACATTTTACTCGAACAAGCTCAAGAGCTGATCTAGAAGGAAGGGAAGAAATTAGGTCAAGGTTCTAAGGGAAAGGTGAGGAGTGTTGACATGAATTTTGTATCCATAGATGACAGTAGCCACATCTCCTCTGGGATTAACACCTACCTTCTGGCCCCACGCCCAAAAGACTTGTACATAAACAAAAATGCCAAGATCACCTGTGTGGTTGTCAGTCTGGAAAAGGAAGAGGGGTTGAAAATTAGCTGGTCACGGGAGAAGCAAGAAGCCATGCATCCTGAATTAGTGGAGGTGACCGAAGAAATGAATGGAACCTTCACTGCTGTCAGCCGCCTCCGTGTGTCTACCGAAGATTGGGACTCAGGAGAGCTTTTCACCTGTACAGTGGAATATCCAGGTTTGCCCGGCCCCATCGTTAAGACAATTTCCAAGATCAGAGGTAAGGAGGAAGCAGAGTTAAACCCTTTAAAGCTCCAGCATGTCCTGCCTTCAGAATATTAATTGTGCACATTGGCTGAGGTTCTTACATCACATTAAGTTTCATTTTGGCTTGGAATGCTATGTGATACCCCCTCCCCCCCAGTCAATTCTGTGTAATTATAATTGTGACTAATCTCTTTATCTCACAAGTGAACCAATCCTCAGTGGTTTCTTAGCTACAATAAATTATGGCTTAGTACATGGGGATCCAATCACTGCTTCCATTACTTTATTACAGACTAAAAAATATTTGCCTCTCTTTCCTTTATCTTTTTCTTTCTATGTTCACAAAGAACACAGCAAGGAACCCATCATCCACATCTACCCTCCCATTGAAGTGACGCACAACCCTGGCAATTCATTGATCATAAGCTGCTTAATTCGTGGGTTCTACCCAGAGGATAATGATGTCCAGTGGCAAAAGAATGGCAATCCCATTTCAGAAGATAACTATGTCAACACCCCACCTGTGAAGGAGAAAAGAGATGATTCCTTCTTCACGTATAGCAAACTGTTCCTCCCCGAATCACAATGGAACGTTGGAGATATTTTCACCTGTATGATAGTCCATGAGGCCCCTGAGATGAAGTTCATTCAGAGGAGCATAGAGAAATCTACGGGTAAACGTTGAAGACTCCTGTCAACATGCATTGTCTTCCTAGAGTTCTCTCTCACTTGTCATATCCAGTCCTTGTAAATAGTTTCCAGGCTTATGTGTTTGGCTCCTGGCTAAATAAAAGCAAACCAAACTCAGAGGTCTCTCAGGTTGTGCTCTTTTCTTCAACCAGACTGGGGACTTGGCCAGGATGAGGGATGAATTCTGGAATGGAGAGGAAATGAGCTAATTTCTCTGCACATTAGAATAAGATTTCAGGTTGATATTGGAAGCAAAGGGGGTTTCACTTCTTGCATATCAGTATCGACCTGAGGGCCGAAATCATTGGTCCGTGTATGGGCAATCATCCCCTGTTATCCTCCTCCCAGCTCTTCCAGGTGAGTCAGGAGCAGAAGGGACGTGTCCAGACCAACCAGCTGAGCTTCATAGTTCTCTGGAGATTTGAACCCATATCACCTTCCACCAAACTCCTCTGTACTGCACACACTTGTTTCTTGTTGAATGTGCAAAGAAGACCACTTTCCTTTATATGTTGGCTGTGGCCCTCTGGCATAGGAATGAAGTTCATTCAATTACAATTCTTTATTTACAATTTTCCCATTAAGTTTCGCTTTCATCTCTCTTTCATCTCTCT